GCGTTCCCCCCCCCCCCCCGCGCGCCGCCTGCGCAGCTTTAACAGCGTGGACAACGGCTACCTGGCCTTTGACCACGTGCGCATCCCGCGGGACGCCATGCTCATGCGCTTCTCTCAGGTCACCGAGGAGGGGCGGTACGTGCCGCCGCCGCCCGACAACCAGAAGGCCAGCTACGCCACCATGGTGTATGTGCGGGCCACCATCGTGCGCGACTCGGGAGACTTCCTCAGTGAGGCCGCCCCGCCTGCCAGGCGCACCTGCGCCTGCGCCTGCGCCCGCGCCTGCCCTGCGCTGGTGCTGGTGCTCTGGGTGGCGTGGCAGTCTGCCTTGGCTTTTGTTTTGTGCTCATGATGGGGAGCCGGCAGCATGCTGGGGCTCCCGCTGGGCCAGCCGTGGTGCCGCATGAAGCGCCCTCCGCTTGCGGCGTGGCGGCCCGACGCCGCGCCGTCTCCCGACCGCCCGCCGCCGCCGCGCAGGCCGCGCCGTGACCATTGCCACGCGCTACACCGCCGTGCGCCGCCAGACGGCCTCTAAGCTGGGAGAGCCTGAGCTGCAGGCGCGGCAGCTGCCGCCGCTGTTGCTCCCAGCCTGCTGGCCGGTCGTGGTGCTGGGTGCAGGGCTGGCTGTGGGCGGGTGTGTGAGGGCCACAGGCCGGGCGGCCAGGACGCCGCTTCACCCTTGCCAGCTCCTAGGCCCCCCCCTGCCCCCACCCCGCCCGCCTGCCCGCCCCTCCTGCAGGTGCTGGACTACGACAACGTGCAGCAGACGCTGCTGCCGCTGCTGGCGCGCGCCTACAGCCTGGTGTTCATGGTGAGGCCGCCTGGGCTGGGCCTGCCGTTTTGGCGCCCCTGCCTCATTGCCGCGCGTGCCCTCCCACCCGGCCCCTGCCTGCCCCTCCCCAACTTGTCCCCCTCTTCTACACACCCACACACCCACACCCCACGCACCCTGCCCTCCGACCCCACGCACCCTCCCCCACCACCCACACGCACCCTGCCCCTCAACCCACGCCCCCCCCCCCCGCAGGGCCGCTCCATGATGGACATGTACAACAGCTTTGACGCCGCACGCTCGCGCGGTGACTTTGGCGTGCTGCCCGAGCTGCACGCGCTGTCCAGCGGGCTCAAGGCGCTGTGCACTGACATTACCGCCGCGGGCATCGAGGCGTGCCGCAGGCAGTGCGGCGGCCACGGCTACATGCTGGCCTCGGGCCTGCCCACGCTGTTCAACTCCTACGTGCAGAAGTGAGGCGGGTGGCGGCCCTCCCTGGGGGGTGGGGGGGGTGTCCCCGGCTGTGCATGCGTTGGAGGGTGCCTCTCCGCTCCAGCCAGCCGCCCGGTGCCTGGGCGGGGGGTGCCCGCCGCGCGCTGACACGGCCTCGCCCTTGTGTGCGCCGCTTGGCTGCAGCTGCACCTGGGAGGGCGACAACAGCGGTGCGTGGGGGGGTGGGCGGGTCGGGGACGGCACCACGGCATGGCTGCCGCAAAGTGCCCTCGCCCCCGGCGGCACCTCGCCCCCTGACTCTTGCTCAGCAGCTCCTGTGCTACCTGGCGGCGCTCCCACCCGCCCTGCCCCTTCCGCACTGCAGTGATGTACCTGCAGGCTGCTCGCTACCTGGTCAAAAATGTGCTGGCGGCGCAGGCCGGCAAGCCCATCACCGGCAGCGCCAAGTACCTGTCCTCCGCCGCGCAGCAGGTGCGGGCCGGGTTGGGGCTGTGTGCCAAAGCACACGCCACGTGCATCACTCGTGGCTGCGGGCAGCTTGCTGCGCTCCCGCTCCTGCCTCTGATGCCCCCGCCCTGCCCTGCCATCCCCTGCCTGCCTGCCTGCCTGCCTGCTGCAGGCGGACGCCAAGTGCGGCGTGTCGACCGCCGACGACTGGCGCAGCCCCGCGCACCAGCTGGCGGCGCTGACGCGGGTGGCGGCGCAGCTGGCGGCGCAGGCCACGCAGGTGCTGGCGCGCGCGGGCGGCGGCCGCGTGGCGTTTGACGGCGAGCCCTGGAACAACTCGACCGTGGACCTGATCCGCGCGGCGCGGGTGGGTGGGATGGGTGCTGGTGTGGCTGTGGCTGCGGCAGCGCTGTGTACGCCTGTGTGTGGAGCCCCTGCTGGTGGTGGTGCCGGGGGGGCTGCGCTTCTCCTGTGCGTCTTCCTGCCTCGCATCCCCTCCTGCTCGCCAGGCCCGGCGCCGTCACACCCGCCCTCACCCCCCACGCTCGTGTCCCGCTGGCTGCCTGCAGGCGCACGTGGCGCTGTACCTGCACCAGAACTTTGTGGACTGCGTGGAGGCGGCGGCCAGCCAGCGCGCGCTGGGCGCCGCCGCCTCGGGCGTGCTGCGCGAGCTGATGCAGCTGCACGGCGTGGTGCTGCTGCTGGAGGCCTCCTCCGACCTGCTGGAGGGAGGCTACTGCTCCGGTGAGCCAGCAGGGGAGCAGGTCGGGGCGGTGGAGGGCGGGCTGCGCTGGGGTGCAGGTGGCCTGGGCCCAGGCGCGGACCAGGCAGTGGTGGGTCCGTGGCAGGCCCCTGAATGGCACCAGCTGTCTGCCCCTCCATCCCACCTCCCCGCAGGCCGCCAGGCGGGCATGCTGCGCGAGCAGCAGCGCGCCCTGGTGCGCTCCCTGCGCCCCAACGCCATCTCACTCGCCGATTCCTTCGCCTACCCCGACTACCAGCTCAACTCGGCGCTGGGGCGCAAGGACGGCAACGTGTACCAGGTGGGGAGCCGGCAGGCTGGGTGGCTGCAGAGGGTGGCGGCAGGGGCTGTGGCGAGGGTGCGCCGCGCTGTGGGGCGCCAGCCCAGCCGCGCCGCTCGCTCGCAACGTGCGTCGCTGTGTGCTGTGGGTGCCGTGCTGCGCAGGCGCTGCTGGACAGCGCGCGCATCAGCCCGCTGAATGCCACCCACGAGGGGCCCGCCTGGAAGGAGGTGCTGGAGCCGCTGCTCAGCCCGGCTGTGCGCAGCCGCCTGTGAGCGCAGCGCCGCAGGGCCCCCTTCTGGGGCTGAGCCGCCTGGCGGTGTGTACACATCCCTCCCACACACGAGTGCCCGATGAGCACTTGCTAGATGCATGCGATCGAAGATGTGCAATTGCCTCTTCCCATTCCTACTTGTCTAGAGTTTGATGCTTTGATAGCCCTTGCACAGAGAGTTATAGCGTGGTGCCCATCAATTTTGCCAACCCCTTGAGTTGCCACTCTCCATTTTGATTAGCGTGTCCCCGTCCTGTGCCCTGTGCCGGTGTGGGCTGTCTTTCAGGCATCCCTACAGCTGCCAGCACCTGTGCCTTTGTCCATGAACCGTTAGCGTGTTGCGTGAGAATCAATTCTAACACTAGCGTATGCCATGTAGATCGTGTAGCACGGCGCAAGCATGAGTTTGCAAGCTCCTGGTGTGAATACGCGCTAGCCCTGTCTACCATGCCTGGGGCTCAGGGTTTTTGTTTCACTAGACGTGCTCCCATGGCGGCGGCGGCGAATGCCATCATGTCTGCAGGTGCATCACACTCAGCAGCAGATGGTCATAGGATGGAGGCGTGCCAAGCACAGCAGCTGGGCTGGCCCCTGCCCGCCATCCTACCCCAGCCAGCGCATGCGCACCTGACGTCTCCTCGATGATCTTGCTTGTCGGCTTGCCAGCACCGTGGCCCGCCTTGACCTCAATGCGGGTCAGCAGTGGGTTGCGCTGCGGCGAGTCGGGGGATCCTGCAGCAGGTGGCAAAGAGGGGGGCCATCAGCAGGTGGGAGGCACAGGTTGGTTGCACGGTGCGTGCCAAACAATGAAACCAAGCGATCATCAGGTCATGCCGGCAGTGCCTGCTCGCCTGCCAGAACGTGCTGCAGAGTCGCAGTCAGCTTATGGCTATGAAGCGGCACTACTCTATCGTCGTGATCTATTGAGGGCAGGCGGCAGAAGCAGGGAGGGGCGGCAGGTGAATAGTCAGAGACGAACATCCATCAAAGTAAGGGATCCATGCCTGCCGCGCAACCAGGTGCAGATCACACCAGCACAACACGTGCCCCCCTGCCCAGCCGGCAGCTTGCAGGCAGCAGCAAGCAGCCCGCGCTCCCAGGCGCACCGCCAGTCGTGATCATGAAGGCTGGGTACTGCCTGGTACCGCCAAGAGGGGGCGCCACGTTGTGCAGCGGCGAATACTGCAGCATGTAGCTGAAGTCATCCTTGTTGTCGGGTGACCCGTAGTCCGTGACCCAAGCATGGCCGATAGTGAACCTACGGCAGGAAGGCGCGAGCCACGAGGTGGGCAAAGGGGTTGCAGAAGGCGCAGGGAGGACGCACGGCTGCTGGCACGGCGCCACAAACCCGGCGGCAGTTGCAGCCTCCGCCCCGACCAGCCGCCCCGCTCACTTGTGGAAGCGAAGCATATCCATCACGCCCACTTGTGCCAACACGACCTGGAACAGGTCTGGGCGCTGGTTGGCGCACGCCGCCACAAGCAGGCCGCCATTGCTGCCGCCCTGGATGGCCAGGGTGTGCGGCGTGGAGTAGCCCGAAGTGTGCAGGTACTCGGCGCAGGCTTGGAAGTCGTCAAACACATTCTGCTTGTTCCTGCAGGAGCCTGCCGCCCTCCACTCGATCCCGTACTCTCCGCCGCCCCGCAGATTGGCCACTGCAGGGCATGGGCGGTGGTAGAGCGGGCGCTGGAGGCCTTGAGACCCGGGGTGGACAGCGGAAGGGACACAGGCTGATGCGGCCCAGCAGCCGCTCCGCACCCACCTGCATACACGCCGTTGAAGGCCAGCATCCAGCACAGGCGGGAGACGGAGAAGCCGGGCTCCAGACTGATGTTGAAGCCTCCGTAACCATATCTGCAGGCATGGGGGCCCAGCAAGCGGACGTCAGTGGCCGACAAGAGCAGCGAGGCGATGGGATGAGCTGCTGGCCGGCCACGCAAGGGCTGGGGTTGGTGCCAGCTGCGCCCATCTTACAGCAGGGTGGGGTTGGTGCCGTCCAGCTCGATCCCCTTCTTGTGCACCACAAACATGGGCACCTGCGTGCCGTCCTTGCTGGTCACGAACACCTGCAAGGCAGGGCGGGGCGCCCCACATCCCCAGCTCAACCTAACCACAGCCAGCCAGCAACAGGGATGCACCACTGAGCGTTGGCATGTATACGTTGCATGGTGTGCCAGCCCATGCTCCAGGCAGGCCCCACCTGCTTGGTTTCAAATTGGTCGGGAGAGAAGCCCTTGGTTGCGATGCGGCGGAACAGCGAGGCCTCTGCCGCCTCTGCCCCATCCGCCAGGTCCACGCGATAGATGGCACCCTGCGGGAGCAACGGGTGCACGGATGCTGTTCGCCAGACATGGGGAGGCACATGCCAGGCGCAACCAATACCACACCAAAGTGGCCAGAGCGCACTGCTGTGTTGGCTTGTGCTCACCGGCTCGGTGAACGATGTGAAGGAGAAGAAGCACTCTGCGGCGGGGAGCGCAGGGCAAGGCCGGGTGAGGATGGCAGTCAACAAGAAATTTTGCGCATTCAAAAGCGCAGATGAGGCTGCGCCACCCCCCCTGCCGTCCACCCACCCGTGTGCTTGTGGTTGCCGCTGAAGCCGGACACGCTGCCAATGCCGGGCATGGCCAGGGGCTTGATCAGCGCGCCGCTGGCCCAGCGGTGCAGCTGCAGCACCGACACCACATCCCGCAGGAAGCAGGCCACCAGCGTGCCACCCTTGACCAGGCTACACCACTGCAGCAGGTCCTTGTCGTGCTGCGGCAGCAGGTCGGAGCAGGAGGCCGCAAAGCTGCCGGCAGCCGCCATGTCGCCGCGCACCACCCGATACCGAGGCGCATCGAAGTTGGTGTGCAGCGTGATGGAGGTGCCGTCGCTCCCTAGATAGTCCCACTGCGCCTGCAGCCAGGGAAGCGGGCATGGCGAGGGCATCGGCGTAAATCGATTGCGTCTGGCACAGCTGCAACCTGGTCGTGTGGTCCCTCCTGTGTGGTCCCCCGAGAGGTCCCGACCCACCGGCCCAGGGCCCGAACCTTGAAGTCGTCGATGAGCTTCACCACAGGCAGCGGCTCCTTGCCGGCATGGAAGTCGTGGGGGCGGAAGTCCAGGGCCCCGCTCGCCGACCGCGGCATCGACTCCAGATCCACATACCTGCTCGACAAGGGTTCAAGGCAGGCATGTAGCGCAGCAGCAGACCACCGCTCAGGGGTGAGAGTGCAGCCCGAGGCAGCCAGCCGTGCCCCCTGCACGCACTGCCGCCTCTCACCAAAGCTTGTTGACGGGCTCGCAGCCGTTGCTGACCGTGAGCAGCAGGTACCTGGCAGTGCAGGGGCCAGGGTCGAAACACGCACAGGAGCCTCCTCAGTGTCCTGCGGCTACTGCCCTGGCATCGATCGAAGCAGATCACAACACGTGCCCGCTGGCCTCCCCCTGCCTCGTCACGCACACACCTGCCATCGTGCGTGATCTCAGTGCCGAACATCCAGGTTCTGCAGCAAAGGACAACCACAACTGTTGCTGTATCACCTCTGGTGATGCAGATACCTGCGATCCTCCACCGCTGCATCACTCACGGGTGCTCCGGGTCGGCCAGAATGGTCACATCCTCAGACTGGGGCGTCCCCAACACGTGGTACATGAGCTGCACACACAGCATGAAGGAGGTTGGACGGCGGTACCTCTGACGACTGGAAAGCAGGAAAACAGTTGAACAAATCCAAGTACTCGGCGGGCAATCAAACCCTGCTTCTGCTTGCCTGCTGGCCCAGGTTGATGTCAGTCTCTGTGCCCTTGTTGGCGGTCTTGGGCTCCTCAAACCGCGCATAAAAGAAGCCCTTGTGATCGTGCGTCCAGGTGATGCCTGCACTGTGCGGGGCAGCAGGAGAGGCCCAGGTGGCAGAGCAGTGCCCGGAACATGCAGCCGTGGCTGGGCGGAGAGGCGCGTCGTCATGGTTGACTGCATGCCTGGAGTGCCGCCGCCCCGCAGAAGCCCTGCCCTGTAGCCAGCAGGCAGCATCAGCCTGCCCACCTGAGAACTTGACGTGGTCCAGCTTCTCATTCTCCAGGTCTGCAGCGCAACGGTGGCAGGTGGGTGCATGGAGGCATGCAGCACATGTACTGGCATTGAAACCAACAATCAAAAATGAACATTCATTCAAGGCTGTATTTCAACCCACCTTGCGACTCGCCCGTCTCCTGGTCAACACGCTTTACATGGATGGTCTTCCAGTCGCTGCCGCCGGAGCTGAGCATGTACGCGTAGAGCGAGCCATCCTCACTGAATGCCTGGCCGCCAAGCGCCACGGTGCCGTCATCCGAGAGCGTGTTGGGGTCCAGAAGCACGCGTGGCTCGCCATCCACGCTGGACTGTGTGTAGATCTGGAGGTCAAGCGGCAGCCGGAAGCAGGAGCATTGGAAGAGATCACTGGGACTGGAATGCATGGTCCCCGCCCTGGAGCGGCACGGAGGGTGCCCGCGGCACCACAGCTCACCACATACTGGTTCTGCAGGCCCGAGTTGTGGGAGTAGTAGTAGCGCTCCCCTCTCCTGTAGGGCGTCCCGTACTTCTCGTAGTTGAACAGGTCTGGCGATATGGGGAGGTTGGAGCGAGGCGTCAGCCCACCTGATCCCATCCCTAAGCTCTCTTGCTCCACCTGCGCTCCCCACTCTCACTCCCCCACATGCCCCCTGCCCACCCCACACACCGGTGAACAGGTCCTTGAAGGCGCCACGCGCCTCGCACTGCTCCAGCACGCCTGCGGTGAGCTTGTTCTGCGCCTCGACGAATGCCTGCGTCTCAGGCGAGTCTGGGTCCTCCAGCCAGCGGTATGGGTCTGCGATAAGCTGGCCGTGCAAGTCCTCCACCACGCTCTCGTCCCGCCGCACAGCCGGGTAGGCGCCCGGGGGCACGGTGACACAGCTCTGTGGCGCGCCTGCGAACAGCAGCGGCCAGAGCGGAGGCAAACGGCTCCAACAGGTTGGATCAAGTACACAGTGTCTATGCTCGTTTCCCGTGCAGCACCAGCCGCCGCCTCACCTTGCGCGGCGCCGGTGACGGTTCTGGTGGAGCGGCAGCGGCGGCCAATTCGCTGCAGCGGCACCACGATTGCGCCTCTCTCTGTAGACAATGCTCGGTAGGCGGCATAGCCGGCCAAGGCGGCCCCTCCGATCACGGCAAGGATCGGGCTTGCCCGGCTTCCTGCCATGTTGTCGAGCGACTGCGACCAATCCACCGATATAGCGTGGGCTGTGAGCTCTCTCTCCTCCCAGAAATCTGCCAACCGGGCGCCACGGCGGACCGGTGCTCTCTAGACTTCGGATCAGGGCCCGCCTTCACACATGATCTCACGCTGGCAGATAGGGGTGGCTTTGATCGCGGTTCTGATTGGATTGCTGGTGCGCCAGGAGGCCCTCTGGATGCGCTGCGCTGCACAGAGGTTTGGGGGTCTGACCTCTGGCTTTAGCAGCAGGCCACTCGCCAGGATTTCGTCCAGGCGCCCAGTCTCCGCGATCGCCACGACCACCATGGCTCCCCCTACTATGCCCGCTCTCCAGGTGCGAGCCACCCTGCTGCACAGCCTGTGGAGCTATGGGGATTGCCGGGAACATCCCGCATTGCGGGCCAGTGGGCTTGTGGTGGCGGTGGCGGTGGCGCCCGCTCTTCTTCACCGCTCGACCCGAACATCCGTTTATTATCATGACAGGGCTCTGCTGCTGTCAACGAGTTTATTGACGCCTTCAACAAGGATTATGAGAAGGTGAGGATGCCTTTCATGCGAGGCCGGTGATGCCTGAACGTCCTTGCCATGCTTGCCCGATTTCCCCACCTGTGGCTGACTGTCTGCCGCAGGTGCACCTGGACTATGAAAACAACTTCTGGAGCACAAAGGTGGGCAGCTGACGTGCACCACTTAAGCTGCATGCTCCTCATACTCGAGCTGGATGCTCCCTCTAGAAAGTGCGTCAAGCTGCTGCGTGGTGCACACATGTGGTGCCGCAGATGAAGCTGGCGGGGGCGTCGGCGGATGAGCTGAGCCGCACCAAGACCGCGTACGACACCTTTCTGGCGGACCCTGAGCGCCTGGCGGCGGTGCGCAAGCAGCTGGCGGCAGAGGGGCTGACCCCTGACCAGCGCCACGTGCTGGAGATCATGGAGAAGACCTTCAAGGTGGGTTCAAGGTGGGCAGCGGGTGGGGGAGGCAGTGATTGGGCTCGAGTGACGACACAGGCGGCTGCGGGGTCGTTGTGCTGCTGCCAGAGGTGCATAGATTGACGCAAGGCGGCCGCCTGTGGGGTGACTTGAGGCGGCTGCGTTGGTTGCTTGGCCGGGGGTGTGCAGACATACATCACCGAGGACCCCAGGGTGGAGGAGTACAAGGCGCAGATCAACCAGCTGGAGGCGGAGCTGCAGCAGCGCCGCAACACCATGGACCTGGGGTACACCGACCCGCAGGTGTGTGTAGGCAGGGGTCGGGCCGCGTGGGGCGGCGCACCGGTGGGTGGGGGACGAGGCTGAGCTGTCACAGGCGGCGGCTGGCCCGTCGTGGCTGGTCCGTCGCACGCCACCATGCTCAGCCTTCACCTGCTGCTCCCCCGCCGGCAGGGCACGTTCCACAAGGGCTCCTCGGTGCAGCTGCGCAACACGATGCGCACCAACGACGACGAGGCGCTGCGCAAGGCGGCGTACGAGGGGCTGCGCTCCATCGGGCCCTTTGTGGCAGGTGGGCTCCGTGACGTGGTGGTTGTGACACAAGAAAGGCCGTGCCGCCTACCCATTACACCCCCCTCGCCCTCCCCGCCCATCGCCGCAGAGCACTTCGCCGAGATTGTCAAGGTGCGAAACAGGCTGGCCAAGGCGGCCGGCTACCGAAACTTTTACGACATGAAGCTGCAGCAGGCAGAGGGCTTCTCGCTGGAGGTGCTGTTTGATGGGATGCTGGACGGCCTGGAGCAGCAGACGCGGCCCATCATGGAAGCAGGTGGGCCTCAGCCTGGGGCGCTGCACCGCCGGGGAGCCGCACCCCGCGGCGTGCCGTGGCACCGCGGCCCGTCTGCCACCTGCCTGTCGCCGCTTGTCACCAGATTCGGCTGGCCCTGCCTGCGTCGCCGGCCTGCATGTGCAGCGCGCAAGACGCTGGCGGAGCAGAAGGGCTCGGATGCGCTGAAGCCATGGAACATTGGCTACAGCCTGGCAGGAGACGTGGAGAAGGTCAGCACAGGGCGGTGGCAATGCGAGGCCTCTGATTGCTTGCTGCCTCTGATTGCTCCGTCTCCTCTGCACCCTTCCGCAGCCTGCTTGGAACATGAGCTCATGCTGCTCGCTGCCTGCTGCCGCAGAAGCTGGACCCTTATCTGCCCTTTGAAGATGCCGTGGATGTGTGGGCCCGCACGTTTGCTGCTCTGGGCATCCGCTACCGAGGAGCCGAGATGAACCTTGATTTGTGTGATCGCGACGCAAAATACTCCAACGGCTTCTGCCACTGGCCCCAGCCCGCCTACATTCGCAGCGACGGCAGCTGGGTGCCATCCAAGACCAACTTCACGTCCCTGGCCACCCCCTCAGCTGTGGGCAGCGGCAAGACGGCTTTGGTCACGCTGCTGCACGAGGGTGAGCGGTGTGGCCTCTAGGGCGAGGCCATGGCGACTGCCCGACTAGGGGAACGCGTACTTGAGCATGCTTTGCTCTGGACCTGAATTCAGCAGAACCATTTCTGTTGTGTCGATGTCTTGCAGGTGGCCACGCGGCTCATTTTGCCAATGTGCTGCAGCGCAGCCCCTTCTTCAGGTAAGCAGACCAGCGGGAGCCGCCTGGCCGCCACAGCCGCCACCAGTCGGTCCAGGTGACCAGGGCCCTGAGCGGAGGTTCCACCGCTGCCCCCATGCCACCTGGCGCGTCCTGGTGCAGCCAGGAGCGCGCTCCCACCTCTGTGGCCTACGCCGAGACCCAGTCGATGACCCTGGACTCGCTGGCGGGCGACGCAGCCTGGATGGGGCGCTACGCCCGCAACGCGTGAGCTGCAGCAGCCACTGGCAGCCACGCGGCGCTGCCTTGGCGAAAACTCCCTCCAAGCTGCCAGCCTGCTCTGCCGGAGCTTCTGCGGCTGCATGCTGGACCCCCGACTGAATGCTGATGCCCTTGCTGTGGCTGGGTGGCTGCTGCAGCGCGGGCGAGGTGGTGCCGCTTGACATCATTCTGGAGAAGATCCGCTCCACGCAGCCGTATGAGGTGGGGCCTGGGGGAGCAGAGGCAGCGCTGCCCGTCTCGCGTGCCACGTCAGCATGCCCTTGGGATTCATCTGTGGATTCACGGCGTGCATGGGTGCCTCTCCCTCCCCCTCAAAACCGAGCAGGTGTTCATGGTGCGCTCGATGCTGTCCGTGCCCTACTTTGAGCGTGCGCTGTATGATCTGCCTGAGGAGGAGGTGACCGCGGGGCGCATCCTGGCGCTGGCAGATGAGATCGAGGTGAGGCAGCGGGGCCGGCCGTGGTACTGGGCACCCTGGGGAGGATGGCGGGGCAAGGAGGCCACGTGGGCATGGAGCATCTGCAGCCGGTTACACAACGTGTGCCCGCGGCTGCTGCCTGCTGCGTGCAGGAGAAGATCGAGGGCGGGCCGGCGCCGCGCCCGCTCATGAGGTGGGCATTTGCCGCGCGCCCGCCAGCGCGCTGGCTGCTGCGTGCACCCCCATCCGTTGCTGCAGCACCCAGCTCCAGGGGCAGCTGCCTGCATCTTGTGATGGCTGAGAACGCCTGGGCCGTGCCTGTCTCGCCCTCCCACTGCCGCCGACTCCCTCGTTGATGCCTGCGTCGGCTGCCGCTGCAGCGTCCCGCACATCCTGAGCGATGAGTCGTCGGCCTACTACCACGGCTATGTGCTTGCGGAGATGGCGGTGCACCAGACGCGGGCGCACTTCATGGCCAAGTACGGCCGCATCGTGGATGAGCCTGGGGTGGGGCGCGACATGGCTGAGGTGTACTGGGCGCCAGGCAACGGGGAGGCATTCCTGGACCTGGTGAACAAGCTGACGGGGGCGCCCCTGACCAGCGCCGCGTGGGTGAAGGAGCTGCAGGTAGGCAGGGTGGGGGTTGCATGGGGGCGCGCGCCAGCCCCCACAGCATGGAAACTCTGACATGTGTCAGGCATGTCTGCGTGCTACCCCCCTGCTGCGCATCTCCTGCACTGCTCTGTCCGCACCACCACCTCACCCCTTGCCTCACCTCCTTGCGCTGCAGACCCCGCTGAAGCAGAAGCTGGAGGAGGAGGAGAAGGAGTATCGGGCGGCGGTGGCTGCGGGGCCCGCCATCCCGCCCGGCCAGGAGGCCGACCTGGAGATGCGCATCCGCCTGGTGCACGGCGACGAGCTGGTGGCAGACACAGATGCGGACGGCGGGCTGGCGGCCGCGTGTGCCAAGTACAAGGCGTGGATCAGGGAGCGGTGGCCGCGGCAGTGAGGGCCAGCGTTTCCGCCCGCTGATGTGGCGCCGCCGCTGTGAAGCGCCGCCAGCATGTTCGCCGCGGCGTTCTTTGATCTGACGCTGTTTGTTATCATCACCTGCATTCATCAGCAGGCGCTCGGTTGTGAACCAGCTTAGCAGGGTGTCGTGCGTTGCCTGCCTGCCGCAATGCTGCGGCAGCTACGCCGATTGAACGTGCAGAGGCTGTGCAGCGTCTCATGGTGAGCTCCCGGACAACATGTGGCAGCGGCGACCCTGCACAAGCTGGGCTGCGAGCTCACGTCGTGTGCTGGCCAGCGTGCAGGGCCTCGAGCGTCACAGAGGCTGAGAGTGCCACCATCTCAAGCGCGGCATCGTGCTGCAGCTTGCAAGCGGCGGGGCGGCTGCCTGCAGAGGCGGCCCCCTGGGCGCCGTGGCAGGCACAGCAAGCAGCTCCCTACTCCAAAGCCCACAGTGAGTGGTCTGCCTACTGCTGCTGCTAGCAATCCAGACGCTCGCAATGTAGTTTTCTAGCCCATCCCATGTGTCGCGCAGAGGGAAAAAGGGGGGCGGCAGGCGGCGCAGTGGCAGATGCCAGCGCACCCGCATTTGACATGACAGAGACCAAGAGGTGAGCTGTGGCAGAGCTTGGTCGTTGGCCCACAGATCCCAGTACGGATCCTGTATACATTGATCTTCCCGCAGCCGCGCCTCAGCCTTGCAGCGCTGCCGCCCAATGAACCGCTGTTGGATGCAGCTTGATGGAGCGAGCCCTGGCCCACCTGCAAGGCGAGCTGTCTAACATTCGGACGGGGCGGGCCACGCCCGGCATGCTGGACCACCTGAAGGTGGGCTGGGGCAGGGGTGGAGGGTGGGACAACGTCACAGTGGGCGCAGGCGCGGCAGCCACGCTGCTGGGCCTGTGATCGCTTGGGCCAGCGCTGTCGCCCATGGCCTACCTGCCTCCTGCTGCAGGTGGATGTGTATGGCGACCGTCTGCCGCTCAAGGCGTGCGGGTCTGTGTCGGTACGGGACCCCCAGCTGCTCGTCATCACCGTGTTTGATGTGGATGTGAGTGCTTGGTGTTGGGGCCAGGCCAGGCGGTATGGAGGGATGGCGTGGCTTGCTCGCATGCATGCCTTCTGCGCTCCCCCTTCTTCCCTTTGCTCAATGCTCCAGCCTCTCTGCCTGGCTCTCTTTAAACTGTGAGCTCTGCTGTGCCTTCGTGTCGGTGTAGGCGGTACCTAGCGTTGTCAAGGCAGTGTCCGAGTCCCCGCTGCGGCTGAGCCCGCGGGCGGAGGGGCAGGAGGTGCTGGTGCCAATCCCCAGGTGGGCGAGGGTGCCGCATGCTCCCCCCGCCCAGCTGCCTGGTTCCTGCCGGCCCTGCCCCGCCCACCCCTTGCTGCCCCTGCCCGCCATCTGCCCGCCCCCGTAGGCCCACCATCGAGTCTCTGGAGGCGATGATGAAGGTGTGCAAGGTGGAGGGGGAGCAGGCCAAGGTGTCTGTGCGGCACGCCCGCAAGCTGGCCATGGATGCTGCCAAGAAGCTGGGCAGCGAGGACGAGCGCAAGCGGGTGGAGAGGGAGGTGCAGAAGCTGACGGATGAGTATGTGAGGGAGGTGGAGGGGGCGGTGCAGAGGAAGGAGAAGAGCATCAAGAGCCACGACTCGTGAGCGGCCCCTGCCAGCCACCTGCTCAGGCGGCAGCGCAGCACCTGGCGCGTGGCCAACTGGAGGCCGATGCCATACACCAGTCCGCTTCACTTTTTCTGTTTCTACTGGTATTGAGAGCCAACAGAGTGAGGTTGAGCGGTACACTGTTCCATCACGACAATTCAGGTTCAATACAACAACACATGCAACCACACCACTGTGTGCCAACCACTGTGGCAAGAAAGATGGAAGGAGTGCCTATCACTGCTGCTGCTGCGGGGGCTGTGGTGGCGGTACGCCCCTGCCGCGTCCAGGTGCCCCGCCACGTCGGCCACCTGGCGGCCCGCGGCCCGCTGCTGGGCCACCGCGTCCTGCAGCGCAGCACAGCGTCCACATGGCGAGGCTCGGTTCGGTGCGGCGGTTGGGGGCTCACCATCTGCGGATGGTGCCAGCAGCGGCCAGCCAGCAGCAAAGCACCGTCCCAGCTCCTCACCTGCTGGCCTTGCAGGCGGCGGTGCTGGCTCTGCTGGGGCCGCCCCCTCTGCCTTGACGGGGTTGAACACGATGGGGACACGCTTGCGCCTGCGCCCCTCTCCCGACGTGCCCCCTGCTGCCTCGCCGGTGCCAGCAGCCGGCGCCACAGATGTGCTGGTGGTGGGGGTGGGCGCCGGCCGGGAGGGCGGCGGCTTGACAGCGGCGCGGGCAGCCTCCCGCGCTGCTGCCACCGGCGAAGGCGCAATGGATGGCGTGCCTGCTGCTGCGGCTGCCGCCGCGCCACCATCCTCGCCCTGCTGCTTGGCGTCGGCCGCCTCGTGCGCCTCCGTCTCCTCCTCGGCTTCGGCTGCCGCCTCTGCGGCCGCATCCTCTGCCTCCATGGCCGCCAGCTGCGCCTCGTAATCCTCCTCCTCATCGCCATGCTCAGCGGCAGCAGCCTCGTCTGCAGCAGCTGCCGCCTCCACCTCCGCCGGCTGCTCAACGGCGGCAGCAGCAGGCTCCAGCTCATCCACCGCCGCAGATGCAGGCTCCACCGCCTCCACCTGCTCCTCATACAGCTGCGGCTGCTCCTCCTCAGCCACCTCCAGCTCCTCGTCCAGAGTCTCCTCGGCCCCCGGCTGCGACAGCGGCTGAGGATGCTCCTCCTCCTCCTCCTCCTCTTCCTCCAGCTGCTCCTCCTCCTCAGCCTCCATGGGCTCCCCATGCTCCTCGCCACCGCCCTGCTCCACCTCCTCGCCTGCGCACCAGGAACGCACCCCCGCAAAGATGGCAAAGATGGCTCTCCACCCGCTGGCACCCCAGGGGCGGCGGGCTGCATCCAAGAGCGAGCAAGCGTGGCTGCATGCTTCCCACAGGCAGCCAGGCTTGGCCAGCCCGCGCACCTGCTTCCTCAGCGTGCTCGTCAGCCTCCTCTGTGGCCTGCATGTGATCATCAGCCGCAGCGCCACCCTCCTCGTCGTGCTGCTCCTCCCCACCACCTGCTGCTTCGTGCTCCTCCTCCTGCGGCTGCTCCTCGTGTCCCTCCTCGTCGTGCTGCTCCAGTTCTTCTGCCGCCGCCGCCGCCTCTGCCTCCTCCTGTGCTGCTGCGGCAGCGGCCGCCTCCTGCTGTGCCGCTGCGGCAGCGGCCGCCTCCTGCTGTGCCGCTGCGGCAGCGGCCGCCTCCTGCTGTGCCGCTGCGGCTGCGGCCGCCTCCTGCTGTGCCGCTGCGGCTGCGGCCGCCTCCTGCTGTGCCGCTGCGGCTGCGGCCGCCTCCTGCTGTGCTGCTGCAGCTGCGGCCGCCTCCTCCTGTGCTGCCGCAGCGGCAGCGACGGCCTCCTCCTCGGCTGCCGCAGCTGCTGCGGCCTCCTCCTGCCTTGCTGCTGCGGCGGCCTCCTCCTCCGCCTTGGCATCTTCTGCAGCTGCCGCCGCCCCCTCCTCCTCAAACTGCCCCTCCTCTCCCTCTGCCTCCTCATAAGCCGCCTCCTCGCCCTCGCCCTCGCCAAGGTCCTGCGACAGGCACAAGCCGAGGCGGCGCCAGATCATGCCAGAGTGGTGTGACAGCAGTGTCACTCACATCTGGCAGCGACTGGCCCTGGTCAGATCATGACATGCCGGCGTGGTAGCGGCGCTGCTCCCTGCCCGCACCTGCTCTGCCTCCTCTACCCGCTCCTCCTCCTCCATAGCGGTGGGCTCCTCGGCCGCCGCCTCCGCCTCAGCGGCCGGTGGCTCAGCCTGCTGCTCTGCCGGCGCCTCCGTGGGTGGCGTCAGGCGCGTGCGTTTGGCGGGCTGCGGCGCCTGCGCTGCCGGGGCCTGTGCCTGCTGCGGCTGCTCCGCCTGCTGCTCCGCCTGCTCAGGCACCTTGCGCTTCTGCAGCGTCTTCTTCAGCTCCTGGTGCAGAGCGGTGCGCGCCATGGCCTGAATCTCAGCCACCTTGCGCTCACCCTGCTCCCGCGCCGCGGGCCCCCGCGTGCGAGCCGCCGCCGCGGCGGCCGCCGCCTCCTCCCGAGCCTGCCGCAGCTCCGTCTCCAGTGCCGCGATGCGCTGCTGCAGCCGCAGCTTCTCGGCCTGCAGCGCCGCCACCTGCGCGGCCGCCTGAGTCCGCTCCGCATGCGCCACCTCCAGCTGCTGCTTCACCACCACCACCTCCGCCTTGGCCTCGTCGGCGGTCATGCGTGCCTTCCTGGCTGCACCACAAACAACAACAACAACAGACGCATGTTGCCGGCGCCTGCTGCAACTCCCCGCAGAAAACAGGCCTGTGCCTTGCAGCGCAGCTGCCACGCTGAATCCAGCGATGCCCAGCCGCCGGCGTGCAGGCCAGCGCCGCCACCCACCAAAATCGACGGCCTTGGCCTGCGCCGACTTGGCCCTGGCCCTCTCCGCCTCCAGGTCGTCGCCCTTGGCCGCCAGCTCGCCCTTGAGCCGCTCAATCTCCACATTCAGGCTGGCCAGCGCAGACGCGTCGGCGGCCGCCTGCCCCTGCACCAGCGCACACCATCGGCACGCGGGGTGGGGCCTGCGGCCGTGCGCTGGTGCACCAGAAGCCTCCCCGATCCCAGCGGGTCGGGCCCATACCCAGGCCATGGCTCGTCACCACACGCACCCTTCCCCACCCCGCCCCATGCGATCCCCCACCCTGTCCACCTGCCCCGCCACCCACCCACCTCCACCTGCCCGTCCATCGCCTTGAACTTGGCCTCCAGCTCCTTGAGCCGCTGCTCCTTGGCCCCCTGCACCCTGATCCAGTCCTTGATGGGCTTGCCCTCCTGGTTGAAGTTGCGCCGGATGGCGTCAATCAGGCTCTTGTGCATGCGCCTGGCCTGCTCGGCCTCCGCCTGCGCGGCAGCGGGGGCGCACAAGCGGGCAGGCGCTCAGGCGGGGGGTCGGGAAGGCGGGCTCGGCATAGCCCAGCCTGTCTGGCTGTGCTGTCTGCCAGCCGTGCAGGGGGCCGCTCCTGTCCAGGTCGGGGCACGCACGCACGTGCATCCAAACCAAGCCCCACCAACCTTAGCCTTGCTGAGCTCCTCGGCGCGCCCCGCCGCCGCAGCATTCTCCTTCTCCGCCTCCTCCAGCCGCCGCCGCACGCCCGCCAGCGCCTCGCGCTCGCCCGCCACCACCTGCTGCAGCGCGCCCGCCTCGGCGGCGGCGGCGGCCGCCGCCGCCTCTGCCGCCCGCGCCTTGTCCTGCGCCTCCCTGAGCTCCGCCAGCACCCGCTGGTGCTCCTGCTGATCCACAGACTCGTACTTCTGCATCAGCTGCTGCGCACGCTTCTGCCAGCGGTCGGCCTGGTCGCGCGCAGACGCCAGCTCGGCGGCCGCGCTGCCGCCGGCCGCCTCCAGCTCCCGGATCTTGCTCTGCAGCGGCGCCAGGCGCGCCTCGGTGGAGCGCACGCGCCCCTGCAGCTCCCGCACCTGCCGCTGAGCGCGCTCGCTGTCCGCCCTGCACGGGGCGGCGCCGCCGGCGGGCACAGGGCATGCGCGATCAGGGGGCAGCTCCTAGGCGGATGCCTCCTCGCATCACCGCGCCTCACCAGGCGCCGTCCGGACATGATTGCTGCCTCAAAACACCCACCCACACACCCACGCACCTGAGCGTGGCGTTGCTCTCGCGCAGCAGGTTGAACTGCTCCAGCTTCTGCATCAGCGCCGCCTGGTCCTGCTCCGCACGCACCGCGCTGCGCGCGCGCTCCACCTCTGCGCCCAGCTGCGCCCGCGCCTCCTCCGCCGCCCGCTTGGCCACGGCGGCCTCCTGGCGCAGCCGCGCCACCTCGCGCTCCGCCAGCTGCAGGTTGATCTCGGCGGCCTCCCGCTCCTGGCGCAGCAGGCGCAGCGCCTCGGAGAAGTCGCCGCCTGCAGGGGAGGGGGCGGTGCGTGTCGGCGGCGGTGAGGGCCGGGGAGCATGGTGGGCACGCGAGGCAGGATGAGGGCCGGCAGGAGCAGGTGGCAGGCAAGGTCTGATGGCCGGGCGGGGGGCAGGCCATTCATCCCCCCAGGTGCGCTCACCCTCGCCCGGCGCCTCCGCCGCCGCCTTCTCCAGCTGCTGCTGCAGCACGTCGCGCTGCTCGCCCAGCGCCTTGGCCCGCCGCTCGGCCTCGGCGGCGCGCTGCTGCAGCTCGCCGCGGGACACCTCCGCCTCCGCCTCCGCCTGGCCGCGCGACACGCGCGCCGCATCCAGCTCCAGCACCGCCTCATTCAGCCGCTGCTGCAGGCTGTTGAAGGTGGTCTCCAGGGCTGCGGGGGGGAGCGGGGAGGGAGGGCGGGGCACCAGGGGCCGGCAGGCAGGAGTGGAGGGTGGGCAGGAGTGAAGGATGGAGGCCG